CATACCGTGTTAACTATTTTGTTTATGATGGATTTTCTCTTTATTACAAGCTGGTGGGCAAAAGTCTTGCATAGGAGCTCCTGCTTCCATGCAACTGCCCACCTGTGGAACATCTGAAGAAATCAGGTAGCAGCTCAAGATTTGTGGCGACTTCCTTGAACTCGACGGCGAATACGTCATATCTGAAGAAGTTAAGGGCAGTAACCTGAAGGACGTATCCTCACTCATAGCAGCCGAGTTTTCTCTTTTCATGCATACGCTGCGCCCCTTCCGCTTGTGCTCACTTCCATTTTCGCAATCGGTGTTTGTGAAGGGGATGGCGTCTGCCGGATGTAAAGGATTGCGTTGTTACAACCACACCTCATCAGGTTAAGGGATCATCACTGATTTGTTTCGGGTGTGGGTCCCTGGGACAGAATGCGAATTTTCGGGCGAAGCTTTTTTCGCTGACGCGACCTAAGGTCCAGTACGAATAGGGGTGAGCCTAGGATTGGCGAAGAAAGCTCGCGTTACGGAAAGCGCAAAAGTCGCGTTCTGTCCTAGCGACCCCCAACTGTTTCTTATTTTGGTAGAGTTGGTTTCCCTCAACCATTCTCCACATCCACGCAGGTCACACCACCTTGTAGAATGGATGGAATTTGGCCAGTGTCTTATTCAGCAGTTGTAGGGCTAGCAGCGAAAACTCACACCGCAAGACACGTATTTAGCAGCTCCTCACTTTGTAAGAAGGTGGTTCCTTTTGGGAAGACGATTGAAAAAAGACAACGTGGTAGAGTAGTCGGCATTACTCGGCACCTTTTTCAGAGTGCGCCACGCATTCCACTGCCAATCAGAGTGATATTTGCACTGAAATGTGAACACCCTGACTTGGTGACTTACTGGAGTCAGAGTTCACCTCTCATCATCGCTGTTTTTATCCTCTCAAACAATTCCGGTACCAGTTGAGCCCAGTGCTTTGGTACTCTTAAGCAGTCTGAGAAAATACTCGACCAAGGTATGTGCGTTAGAAATCGCGCCACTTACCACTTCTTCAACACTGCCCTGCTTTCATCAACAGAAAAAGAGTTCGAACTCATTGCCTTCCAAATCTCTGCTTAATTGTTCACTACGCTGACGCCTCTTCATCTTATAAGCGTGATTGTGTTATGACCATGTTCATAAATTACTGTAAAGCACCACCAAAGCTAAAAGGCATAGGAGGCACTCCCAGTAAGCGCACCGGAAAACCTTTATGTCCCAATGTAAAGTATAAGTGCAGGTTTGATTCTTGCCCAATTACTCAGCTGATGCTTTACCTGTCGAATAAACTGCCGCAAAGTCTGTAATAAGTCTGAGAAAAACAAATAAGCTAAAAAAAGTCGTAACCATAAAAACAACAAAAAACATCGATGTTCATTCTTTGACTAGAACCATGTGCTACAAGTGTGAGACACGACTTTCAAGTGAAATGTACAATAAATTAATGAATGAAGCGAGCAAGAGAAAACGGCCACATAATAATGTTATTAAGTGATAATTATAACAGCGAGGCACCTAAAGTAACGCACCACCGTAACAAATTAAGAGATTTGGCAATCAACAATTAGATAGAACTATAAAAATAGCAACAAATATTATGGATCAAAACCGTTGTAGATCACTTAGGTCCGTTATTGGAGTCGGGATGGGCGACTGTAAATAAAGTTCAATTTTATAGAACATCAGAACATTCAGCTAGAAATAGAACAAATAATCGGATAGATGATTTTATGGGTTGGGCCATGTACTCTCCAAACTTACTAATTCGTATGAACCGAAAGAGAAAAACTTTAAAAAGGAAGAAGCAAGAAGGAAACAGAATCCTATTATTGAAACTGTAACAAAAACAGGGATGAAGATGCACGTATAAAACACTGCTCTCCAAGGCCAGCATTCATTGTTGGAACCCCCCTCAATTTCTCCAATGCAACAACAGTCTTAGGAGTCGCTTATTCGTTGAAAGGGAACTATACTGACACTTTGATGGTGATGGAAAATGAAAGCAGAGGTAAAGGGTAGTGCATCTAGGAAAAAGAAACGTGGATAAACCGTTAGCATCGCTGTCAGTCATGGTAATGTCGATTAATAAAAAGATCGGAGGAGTTGCCCACCATATAAAAGGGTGACAGGAGTAAAGTATTTGACTGTCCTTCATGTTATTAGCATACTCTGGACACGGGCTTGAGTGCGATCTTATAACCTCTTCTTGGCCTATTGTTGAGTGAGCCTCAGTTTGTCTAAGTGGGACCTTGATCCGCCTTACGAGGCTGTTCCGCCTAGCCTTAGTGGGCTAGATAGTTGCCTAAAATGGCGATTGTGTTTTTGTTTCACCTTGCCAATTCGCGGTGCGAGGTGAACGGTATGTCCTTTTGCCCGTATGGAGAGCCAGATAGGAAATTCATTGAAGCTAATCAGATCGCGTGCCCAAACCCGGGATCGGTCCTAGGGTCGCCTGCGCCGTCACAGAAAGAATTTTCCTCAACGGATAGTTACCACCAGGGACTCGCGTTGCGGATCAAGTTTTAATTTTGTTATTAACTCGTCATACCAGTTATTGCTTTTATAATCGGCTCGTTTTATGTAGCCATGAGGTGCGTTAAATAAATTTCGTCGTATGGAGTTTTCTGGGAAGTGGACCGAAACTCTGGTAATCTCCGTAGGTGCATTCGGCTTACGAACGTTATAAGCCGTCAACCCGGCCCTACCAGGAAGGTCTTTCAGGGCGTGACGAGCTTTTTGAAAACGGTCTTTTGCATGATATAGGGGCAGATGCGGGAACCACAGAACCATGTTCAATTTTTCCTGAACGGCCCTCTGAATACCAGAAAAGGAGGTCCCTAGTTCGATTCCTCGTGGTAACAAATTTTTGCATTTCGAGTTGACGTGCCAAAATTCGCGCAAAATGGAGTTAGAACCAACCAGAACAATCAGAACTCCATTTTGCGCGAATTTTGGAACGTCAACTCGAAATGCAAAAATTTGTCACCCAAGAGGAATCGAACTAGGGACCCCCTTTCTGGTATTCAGAGGGCCGTTCAGGAAAAATTAAACATGGTTCTGTGGTTCCCGCATCTGCCCCTATATCATGCAAAAGACCGTTTTCAAAAAGCTTGTCACGCCCTGAAAGACCTTCCTGGTAAGCCTCGTTCCGCCAGCAAAGACGAGTTACGGAGATTGCGTTGGAGTGGAGTGCCCCTAATAAAAGACGCTACAAAATGACCAGTGTTAAACACGTAATGTTGATCGCATTTCACAATAAAAAATGACGCAATCATACAATATCCACACAAACTCGAGAGCTACGTTTCGTGATGTGGTGTGTACAAGGGTTCGGGAGAGGGCGCGGTTTTGGGTTTGCGGGCTATCTGCCTGTAATTAGCGCACCTTTTGTGCGCGAACTTCACATGTACATTCTCTTGACACTACACGGCTTCCCGAGATGCCAGACATTTATGTTAGACCGCATGACTTTGAATAACTTCCTCACTTTTTTGAACACGCCTCAACAGAGACAAGTAGAAAAGATGAGGAATTTGATCACCACGGTGCTTTTACATTTTTTTGTTTCTGCTATTCCCTGTTCCCTAGCCACATTCTTTTCAACGCATCACCGCATTACGAGCCATTGCTTTAATGTCTTTCGGTTCCCCTCACAGTTCTCACTACCTCTGAAGCTGTAAAGAGAGATCTTATCCAGAACTGATCCAGCCGACTAATGATGACTTTATCGCTACTAAAAGACTGTTGATTTTAGATTCCTTTGGAAATCACTGCTATGTTATTCTCTCGTGCTCGTTGTTTCATTAATTAATTCAATTAGCACCTTGAGTTGAATTATCTCCCGAAAATAATTAATACTCAGGTATTCATGGGTGACTAATGGTGTTGAGTTTCTGTTTGTTTGATGAATGGTCTTTTTCATTTTTGTCAACAGGCATGAAAGTCCGGCTTCTACATAATGACGACTCGCGGTCCCCAGTTTGATGCCATCTAATTAGGGGAATGTTGTCTCCTGGCTGTAGCAGTTTTGTACTCGGTTCTTTGGTGACTGCTTGGTTTATTTTTATTTCTTCGTTTTGCGTTATGTTTCGACTAACATGAGTCCTGGTATTGTTTTGGGCGCACCTAAAGTGCAGTTTAAATAAATAAATAAATAAATAAATAACGCACACTTACCTTATTGTGCCTTTGTTCATTGAATAAATTTCTATCATCGTGTATAGAATCGTTCGACATGACAGCGTGCGTGCGCGGTGGAAGCGGTGGAGCGCAGGCCGTCTGGTCCAGACTCCTTCGGGCGCGTGTTCGAAGTCGAATACCTACAACAATCCGGTGCTGATAAAACCGAACAATGCTGGAAATCTTCATATGCACACCTTCTAGCCCATCAACCGTAGGCCTCCTGCTAGAGTGATCTAACGAACGGAGGGAATCCGCACCGTTATCTCGTATAGAAGCAAATACACGGGCGGCATCGACAGATATGGTGCGGTTATTCGCTCTGCAAACAAAAACGCTTAACACTGTATGAGATCAATCTTTCAGGTCACCTTATCTCGAGTTAGTGAACCTAAAAGTCACAAGCTCAGAGTAAGATGCCTCCTTCCCCAATTGCTCTTTGTCGAGGACAACTTTTGTAGTTCTCTAATGGGAGAAATCGATCGAAATTGAAAAGAAATATTACTTGTATCTGCAGCAACTTCAGCTAGCGAAACAATAATGTCCCGGACATTATTATTGCAACAGTTTCGCAGTGTTCTGCAATGCTAGCCTCCTTTTGAAAATATTCTGTTAACATTCGAAACCTACTTAAAGGCAGATCGCACCATAAACTGATCGCCCAAGGGAAACGAAGGCAGAGGTGGTCAATATGCAAAGTTGAAGAAAGCAACAAGGAAAAGCTTAAAACAAATGAGATGAGACCCAACTTTCACCGTTCATTTCCGCGTTAGAAGGAGCACTTTGCCGGTGCCAAAGTATCAACGGAAACGATCTTCTATGCTTCTCTGCTAATACTGCTGCAACCTCCGGAAAAAGCTGACAGCGAAGGGATAACCAGCCGGCAGGCGTATGTAGCCGCGAGCGCCGCCGTATCTACGCTTTGGGGGAGTACCCTTCGCTGCTTTGCATCGTCCCATACCCTTATAAGGGCCTGCCTCCCTTTCTAGAAGGTTTTCACATTCTTCCACCACCAATTTGTCGTGGAAACTTAATTGAAGGTAATACGGTGATCAGGGGTGTAATGGGTAGAACGACGATGCTGAGAGAGGAAGGTACGAGTTCGTTTCCCGCTCGAGCTAGTGTTTCGCCTATGACTAAGCTTTTTTTGACGGCTTGATGCAACGTTCCTCAAACTTCTCTCTGAATCAAACCACCAGCTGAGCGATTGCATTACAAATTTCTACAAGACCAATATTACAACTGTTTTTCTCCGAGCGACGTAGATGGAGATATAATATTTCAAAGGAAGAGAAGAATGATGCGTTGGTTGTCCGAAAACAATGATGCGCGCTTGCTCAACTTCCTGAGGGCATAGAGGAACGTAACATGTGTGGCTGGCAGCAAGGCTGGGCTGCACTCAACCAAGAGTTATCGAGCATCTCCACAAACCGGACCTAGGGCCAAGTTCTCGCAATAGGCACCATCAAATTGTGAAGGTCCGATAAAACGAAACAAATGATCGTGCTTATGTCTTTTCCCTTCTTCCTTCGCATCAGAGGAAAAAAGGGGGTTAAAATCTAAAAACCTACAGTGACGAAGGCGACGACGCAGAGTTCACTACCGCATTCGAACTGGACTTCCTCGACGTAGTCAACATGCTCAACATCGTGGATCCTATTGCAGCCCCACGTGATCTCAGGTTCAACGTGCCGGTTGAGCTGAAATATTCTGTAATTTTCCGACCGTTTCTGAAGGACTTTTCAAGGAACTCACCTGGTATCTAATGAACTACTCGAAACTGTCTTTTTACTCGCATCAATACCGTTACTTTCGACTGAATATCGTATAGATGCTCCTTCTGGTAGAATTGAACGCTGGAATTGAGCTCCTTTAGAAAGGTCTAGATTCAAAAACAATCAACTGCACTACTAACAAGTTGTGGAACACCCCAAATGACTTGTGAAAGAGACAAGCTATGTAGCAATCAAATTTCATATTGACTTGGAAAAATTGGG